ATCTCAATTAGTGGCTTTTCTCTTGCTAAATCCCAGACTGGCAAGCCATCTCACCTTATTCAAATTCCCCCAGACTATACTCCTGTTGCCGAAAGTCTTCTCTGAAAGAGTCCAGTAGCCTTTCCCTCTCTCTTCTCTCAATCCCTGCCCCATACTTGTTCACATTTTTATTTATTGCCTTGTGCTGTCCACTGATAGTTTCATAAGTGCTTGTCCAGTCTCGTTGGCTAGATTGCAAGCTCCCTGAGAGTAGCAGATGCCATGTTGGGTTCCCGTAGCTCAGAACATCTGATACAACAGGACTGCATAATGTCCACTCCACAGACACGCCACTGCGTTATTGAAATGGAAATATCGGCAAACTAAAGCTACATCTACTTGACCCTAGAAAAATAAATGAATTCAGAAGATTAGTCCCAAACGTTGGTTGATTCAAGATTTCTTTTTTAAATAGTAAAATATTCTGCTTATGTGAATGGAATAACTAACTTACTATCCCTATGGAGAAGCTGAAAATGCTGCCTAAAATTATACTGCACACTGGAACTTCTGGTAACTCAGGATGCTGCCTTCTGGGTGGTGTTTATTCTATGCCACAAACACCTGAATTACTGAAATTGAAAGCAATCCAGATTCTGTGTTTGGGGTTCCAGCACTCTGTGGACTGGCACATGTGCCTGACAAAAATCTGGGGAATGCTTGGCCTTTCATTCCTCTGAGAATTATGCCATTTTCCAAGAAAAGCTAAATAGCTCATTCATGTTTCACCCTCTGTTCTTCCAGGCTGGTTTCCTGAGGATATTTTTTAGCCAGACTGGTGTGTTTTTTTTTCAATAGGCTGCTGGAAACTGAGAGTCTTAAACTTAAACTTTTATTGAATGATTCTTGAATGCATTATCAAATGAAGAACATTATCCTCATTTCATCTATTACAGACCAAAAATAAATGTACCCATGAATGGCGTCCACTCGGTGGCCTTCATTGACAAATTCCCCCAGAGGACAACTCAGATCCACAAGAAAGCTCTCAGGACTATTTTGGAGGGAAGCTAACTAAGAGGTACCATCAGGTAGAGAAGTAGTTATTATGGTTTTTTCTTTCTGCATTGCTCTTATCATCAAGAGAAATCGGGAACTTCATATTTCAAGGGCCTTTTGCACAGGAAATCCTAGGGTGGCCTGAGCACACACAGAAGTCTCTGGGGCGGGTTGGGGGGGGGGGGGGGGGCATTATGCAGTAACCTGGAAATCTTGAACCAAGAAGCAGAGCTCCTTGACTGGACAGCATCCATCAGGGGCTCCCAGAAGGAAAGTGATAAGTATATAAACCACCCACAAACATGGAGCATGCTCCAGGCCAACTGAACCCTTGGACTTTATTTTCAAGATGAGGAGATGCCATGAGTTGCAGAGCACGGAGCCCAGATTCACTCCCCAAACCCAAGCAACAAGCTTAAAAGCAGGCAAGGAAAATACTTGGTTTGGCTTAAGTGGACAGTTCAGGCCAGTGTGAACTGGGCACGCAAAAAAGTCCAGGAATCTATAAAGGTGCTTTAGAAAACAAAAAGGCCCTGATCAACAGTGGGGGCCTGGCGATGTATAAACATGCTTCCCCCAAAGCTAAAGATAAAGCCCCACCCCCCAAATGCATCCAAATGTTTATGCTGCTTATATATGATAGTAAAATAATTTTTTAACTTCTTTATTTTATGTTCTCTGTGATCAACATGCAATTTTTCATCATCAGGAAATTAAAAAAATTAAAATTACAACCTTTTAAAAAAAAAGAGATAAAGCCCCCCTTCCTCAAAAGGATGAAACCAGCGAAGGATTCCAAGAGGCCTCTTGAATTGGGTCTTTCTCAAGGAGGAATAAATGTGCATGATGGCTGGGAAGGAACTAGCGGTCCCATGAGCACAGAGCGAGAGTATGGCTGACAGGCAGGAGGCAGGGCTGAGTGGGAAAGGGCTCAGGGACCACATTACAGTGCCGAGACATCTTCCCGAAGGCTCTCGGGAGCTTGCTGAACTGGTCCATGAATGAGCAGGTCTTTGTCGCAGGAGATGTTGAGGGTTGGCCCGGCATTGAGGACACAGTTGCTGCCTTCAGAGAACGTGCAAGGGAGGCGCCCTTGTTTTATAATGTGTAATGGTGACGAATCTCCTGGCTCATCAACAAGTAATTGAGTCACAGGGGAGCAATGCGGCCTGAAGCCTGATGAGATTTAATCCAAAAGCATGCAGGTGACAGCAAGCAATATTGCTGATGAACTGGGGGCATGGAAGAAAAGGCATCTTACCATGGCCTTGCCTTCTAACCTACTGTGGCAGTCAGTGTCCTGGCGGGAACTAGATGGTTCACTCAAATGGGTGAGTGGGGAGAGGCTCACGAAGGGTCTGTTTACTGAGGTGTCATTAAGGTTAAGAAAACCAGAACTGTGGTGAGCAGTTCTCACCCTTGGGTTTGCAGCAGCACCAGGGAGGGGCGATTCCCCCTCAACAGAAAAGCAACTGTGTCCCCCTCAGGCGGGCAGGAGGACGGGGGCATGGTACCTCCCCCTCACCGTCCTGCTCCTCAGTGTCTGGCTCCCGACCCAGCCAGACCCTGAGGGCAAAGGAGCCACTGATGCCGCCTTTAATGGCCTGCCTCCCCAGCATTCTCCACATAGCAAGACAGAAAAGGAGTGAGGGCGTCCGCAGGGGCAAATGGAAAACTCCCAGCCCACATACCACCCACCTTCCTTCTAAGTGCCCCTGTCCTGTTGTCCACCCTCCCACCCTCCCCCCTGAACGTAAGCTCCCGGAGGACGGGCACTTCAGCTTGTCTCTTCCCTGCTGTGTCCCAAGTACCTGCACACAAACAGGCACTCAGAGGATATTTGTTGAGTGACCAATAAGGAGAAAGAAGAAAACCATTTGCCCAGTATTTAGCAGCAAGCAAGTAACAAGACAAGCAGCATTTTATAAATAGTCCTTAAGGGGTGTTTCCCTACGGTAAACTCGTTCTTATTTTGGCCATTTTGCCCAAAGCAAAACATAGCCAACATATATAAGAAGGAAAATACAGTGGGGTATAAGATTTGCTGAAAAGATTATATTTATGCTTTGCTTGGAGTGAAGAAAAGTTTTGGGAACCAGACCCAAGAATTTTAAATTGCCTTAAAAAAACACAAGAAATACATCTTTCTCCTAACTTTCAGACCTGTGGTCCAGGAATGAGGGAATAGTTGCCAGGATTATTAAAGAAACTCTGTGTTAAACAGTGGAAAGATGTCAGGTTGTGGGTTTCTCTGCCACGGGAGCTTTTAGAGACCAACGTTGTCTGGATTTGATGACAGGTAATGACATTAACTAATTACAAAACTAATCACATTTGGAGCAGTGGAAGCTGAGATCATGATAAGCATAATCAAATCCCTGACTTCAGGGCTTCGGGGATCAGAGGATAGGTTTTCTCCCCTTGCAAAGCTTGACCAGATGCCTTTCGGAGTCCTTTGTCTGAATATTTTGGAAGCTGCAGATACCAAGGAGAGTCAGAAACAGCATTCTCAATTGCAGCACGCAGTGGCTGCACTGGCACTAAGTGAGGGCACTATAGGGACGTGCGGGGGTCCCAACTGGCTGAAGATGAGCTTTGCCCATGCTGTCATCGGGAGCTCCATCAAGGTAAGTGCCTGGCCTGCCACCCTCTTTCTCTTCCCCTAAAAGCCTGAAGACCTGTTCTACCGCCACCCCCTCTCTGCCCCCACCCCCGTCCCCCACCATTGTGGTTGGGTCTTCTTGGACAAATTCCAATCCACTGGAGTCTTGGTTTCTTCCTCCACAAAGTAGAGGTAAAAATATCAGCCCCATTTGCCTCAGCAAAATGATTTGAGAATCCAGGGAAATAGAGTTGACTTTGTGTTTTATAAACTGCTATAAATATAAAAAGTTGCTGATTATTGCTGATATGAAACCAAACTACAGGCCCAAGTACCTATGACATGAATACTTCCATCATCAGAAAGGTGGAGAATCATTAAAAGAAGGAAGCTGGCCACCTTCTCGTGGTGAGTACCTCCTCCACCGCTTTCTCTCCTCCCTCCCGCTCTCTCTGGCCCCTGAGAGGGAAGGGAAGAGGCCAGCCTCCTTCAAAGCATTTCTAGCCCTTTCAGGAGACAGCAGAGCAGCGAGCTGGAGCTGTGCCGTGGAAAGGCCCTGGGCATTCTTCTCATCCAGTAACATTCCTTAAGCCCCAATGCAAAACTTGAAAGGAAAGGAAATCCTAAATGTAAACACTATCTTGCAGTCACTTGGAAAATTATCTGCCTCTACCTTCCCTCTCTTACCAATTCACTCACCCTCAATTAAAGCCATCCTTTGACTTAAACCTCACTTTTCAGAAACCAAGCAATCACTTCAGAAAGGGAAAAACATGGAGATCCAGATTTCAATTAACTTAGCCATTGATTTTTGTGTAATTCTGGGGGAGACATTATTCTTTTGGTAAAGTGGGGGCAAAGAACTCAAAGATGAATGAAGGTTCTAGCAACAGCAGTGGGCAGGGACTGAGGTACATGCAGCCCCGCTCCCCAGGTCCTGCTGAAAAGCAAAACTATTAGGAAAATGGCCTGGAAAAGAGATGTGCTGAATTGCCCATGGCAATGGCGAGTCTGTCACTCAGGTAGAAAGCCTTTGGTGAATAGTGTTTCCTTGTACTTTTCCATTTTAATATAATTTATGTATCTGGTGTTTTATACACTGTGCAATTTTTTTAAATGGTCAATAAAAATATAGATCCAACCTTGCTTTTTTGAAAACTGCAATTGTTTCATAATTGTTGAATACATATCAGTCATAACAAGGGACCACTGGCTTAGCACATGCTCATATGCATGTGCACACACACATGCGTGTGCTCTACATAAATACAATAGAAGAAACCACTGATACAGATATAATTTTTAATGTGTTGTGTCACTGAATGTCTATTGGAGGGAAAAAGTCTCTGTGAAAAATAGGTTTAAAACAACAGGCAGTTTAATCAGATAAGCACACAGCATTCATCTCTGTCCTCTGGAAATATGATTTCAGCATAATGAATGAAGGGAAGGAGCTCATTGGAATACATCTCTTCTGAGCAGTCGAGTGAAACCAACTGTCATCGAGAATGGTCTCCTGCGGAGGGAGGGGCCGTAGGATCTATCTGTGTGATGACCATGAGGAGGAGGATGGCCATCACCATCAATGGGTCAACTATTAGAATGGAGCAAAGGAAATAAAGTGTAACTATAAATTATGCAATTAGGGGTTACATTGCAAAAGGTTTATTCCAACTATACTTGAGCTTCTGATGAGGAGTTTAACCCTGTGACACAACGTGACAATTTCTGGAAGCCCCGACTGGGGTGGAGCAGGACAGTCCCTTTTGTGGTGGCCGGTTTTGATGAGAAGCCACCTTTCAAGGAAGTACAAGGGGGATGATCTGAAGTAAACGTCCTCCTCGCAAACAAAATGCAAAAAGTAAGGCTGTTCACCAGCCACCTAGGCGGGGCTATATGAGTGGACTTGTTGCTCGCTGCTCTTGGCAGAAGGAAAACATTAGATTTGTGTCTGGCGATGTAACTCTTTCATTGTGATGCCAAGTGCCCGCCCTCTCCTAGGGAACAGGGGGTTGGTGAGGAGCCTGACTGGGGTCCCCAGAGCCGGCACACCAAGTGGCACAAAGCAAGCTGATGCTCAAGTGTCAGCCCTGTTCCGAGGGCTTTGCCCCTCACACAACCCTGTGAGGAAGGTCCTGTCACTCGCTCTGTTTTACAAATGAGGCAGAGACACAGGAAGTGACTTGCCCAATGTCACACGGTTATTAGGTGCTGGAGAGGCACTCAAAGCCGGGTGGCCAGCTCTGAGAGTCCCAAGTAACCACTGTGCCTGCTGCTCAAATGAACTGAATTCAGTTGAATGGAAAGTCAGGAAAGTGGCGAGCTTAAAAGAAGGCAGAAAAGGATTTGGCTTAATTCTACTCATCTCCAAAATAAAAGCCGATTTGTTCGATTCTCCCCTCCATCTCAGCAGTGTCCAGCGACATTTCCATGAGTGCAGAGAGACAAACATCCTCTCCTGCCCACTCTTCCCGAATCCCCGCTCTGCATCCACCTGCGTGCGTAGTGGAACCAGTCCCGGGACTGCAGACGCTCCATAGACTGTGAGAGAGAACAAGTGGTCATCACAGAGGTCAGCTCCGAGATCCTGGATATGTGAATGCCGGCAGCCCTGCCCACCACCCATCCCTGCGGTCTTGTCCTGTCTGGGGCCCCCACCCAAGAGTGGAAGGCAGGCAGGCCCGAGGGTTTGCCTCAGCCTGACTCACCCATATCAACCTTTCACAGAGCGCTTCGGCATGGTCTACTCCTAATGCATGGCTGGTGGGAAGCTCAGTCCACGACTTGGGTAGGTTAAAAATATAACATTTTTAATAATTTAATACAATTTCTATTTTGAAGCCTTATTCTTCAAGGGTGACAGGAACACAGTCTTGGGCTCCCGCCTTCAACTATGTTGTGGCAGAGTTCTGGGGATCCTCTAATTCTAAGACCTGGCAGGGGAGAGGCCGCCAGTGTTTGATGCCGTGTCCCTTCAGACAACCTCTGAGCTGTCACTCAATCCCTCGACCTGGTCCTCAGGTCTCAGTTCTCCCAAGCCACCCTGAACAGGCTCTTGTTCCGCCTTGACAGCTCCTTCCAGGGGTCACGAGAGCAAGCACAGACCTCCTTCTCTCTCTGCTCCCACCATCATGACTGTGAAATGTCCCCACATACTTGTGATGTCTCCAGCAAGGCCTTAAGGCCTTTCTATTCCCCTAAGGACCAAGGCTGTAGCAAAACAAAACAATAAGGCTTCCATTTGGACAAATACCACAGAAAGCCAAGAACAGAGACTTGACCAAACATAAATTTATTATGGGACACACACACAAAATTCTGGCACAGTGCTCACAGATGCTGTCAAGGACCAGGTTCTTTCTATTCTCCAACCAGGCTACTGTTTAGCAATGGCAGCTGTCCCTGGGCATCACAGGCCTTCTGAGCAGGAAAAAGCCAGAAGGGAAAGAAATAACTACAACAGACCACGGCCTATGTTTCACGGATCAGCACTGGAGGCGTCTGCCCGCCTTAATTCATAGGGTAGTCTAGGAGGCCGTGCTTTTAGCTTTCTAGCTTCCATCGCAGGTAATTGCCAGTCAGAAGGGGGTTAAAAAGAGGATTGAGGGTGTCAGCATAAGGAATCTGCCACAAGCAGGGGAAGACTCATTTTTCCCTGTCACTTCCCTCCTGCAAACAACCAGTAGGCACCGGCCTAGTTGCTTGAATGAGGTCAAAGGTGTAAAGAACAAGTAGAGGTAAAACGTTGGAAATGCTTCATAAAATATTATCCACCTCACGGATTCAAGGACACCATGGTCTGGTTAGACAGCCCAGAGGAAGTCCCAATGTTCCTGGCTCCTCTGCAGGATCAGATGCAGTGAACTAGACACTTGCCCTTCCGTCCAAACCCCTACCACTCACAGGCTGCATGGCCTGTACCAGGGGCCTCTGTTCTTCCGTTCCTACCCTGGCTTGGCCCAAGAGACCCAGAGGGCACTCAGGAAGTAGATACTGGGCCAGGGAAACTCCCATGTTTGTGAACTGCAGAGGCTGGGCCAGAATGTGGCAGTGCCTCGCTTCCTAACACATATGTCACTAGAAGACCCAGTCATTCAGGGAGAACCTCCAGAGGTTGAGCCATTTAACGCCAGCTGTGTGCTGCCCAGCTCCTTCAGGGTGCTCAGAAGGGTCAGCTCCAGGCTGAGTCCACCTGCAGAGGTCCAAAGGCCCCCTCCCCCCTCCTACAGCTTCAGAATCATTTTGGCTACCACATGGTATAGCAGAAACTCTGACCCACCTGGGTCGGAACCCTAGGTCTGCTGCTCTACGACCCTGGGAAAGTTACTCTGAACTGAGCCTTAATTTCTTTATCCACAAAATGAAGCCAGTAACATTTACCCTGCAGGGCTGCTGTGAAGATGAGAGACAAGGGAGGTAAAGTGCCTGTCCACACTGGCCTTTTTAGTGGGTGGTAATGGCTCTTCTTCTCGCAGAAGATCCTGGGGACTTGAATTGGACCAGGAACAGGACTCAGATCAGTGCTGCCTGCTAAGAGACGAGAAGAGGGGACATTGCCACCTGGGTAGATTTCCTCCAGCTCAGAAGGTGCTCCAGAATTGGGTTTGGTTGGTTGGTTGGTTGGTTGGTTGTTTTGAGGAGGAAGGATGGTGGTAGAGCAGTTGGCTGAGCACAAGGTACTGATCTGGAGGAATCACCAGGTGACCTCAATTCTGCAGAAGACTGTGGATATTTATGTCCCTTGACGTGGGGTGACATTTTGATCTCTGCCATACAGTAACACCCCTTGCAAATTGATTAATTCTTTGGGGCTCTTAGGACAACTTTAGTAATAACATCTGCTTCCACTGTGCCCAAGTGTAGGAAGAGGGCGTTTTAAATAACACTATGTTTAATGAGACTAAAAATTATGTGCTTACCAAAAAACAAAATAAAAATAATCTCTGCCTACATTAGTGATGTAAGAATCAAGAGGCATACTCCCGAAAATAATATAATATTGTATGTCAACTCTACTTCAGAAAAAAAAAAAAAAACAGGGAGGCAAGACTCCTGTGTGCTTGAGCAGACCATACCTGAAGTTCTGATGCATTCTGTGAGCTTCCCTGTGAGGTAAGAGAGAGACAAACTGCAACATGTCCAGAGGAAGGACTGGTGTGGCCACTGGCCACAAAAAGAAAACTCCCACACAACGCCAGAGTCGAAGGATTGGGGAGTGCTTTGCCTGGTAGGGGAAAAAAGGATAAAAACTGTGTTCAAATATTTGGAGAGGGCTTTCATGAGTGAGAATGAGCCTTATTTTATGTGCATCAAGAAGTAAAACTATGCCACAACTAGAAGAACCTGCGACTAAGATGTACAACTATGTACCGGGGGGATTTGGGGAGATAAAGCAGAAAAAAAAAAAAAAAAAGAAGTAAAACTAGAGCCAATCGTGGAGTGAGGGCTCCATGGAGGCGGGTTTCGACTCAACTGAAGGAAGAGATTTCAGTCACCACATCTGAAGATCAGCAGTCCTGAGCAACAGCGAGCTCCAAAAGCTAACGGCATTCAAGGTCGGAGAACGAGTGCCTGCTGAGGATATCACATCACACCCGCCGCACGGGGTTCTGATGAGGACGAAGGCGATAGCTGTTTCACACTCTCCCTATATGCCACCTTTCAGGTGGTGACTTGGCCACACTGCTCTGGACCGTCAGCTTATTGTTTCACCCCAGCTTCCACACAACAGACTTCCTAGGGTGCAACCCAACGGAGCCTCTGCTTGTGTCCCCTTGACTGGTCTCCGCCCTTCCACCCCGGAGCGTGCCTGTTACCCCTGAAGCATGAGACACTCCAGCAAATCTCAGTGCCCAACCATGCTCAACCCGGAGCTAAGAGGGAGAAATAAAGGGGAAGTAATGCCCACAAGGAAAACTGTTGACCAATCAGAGGTTGGAACTGGCAAATAAACTCTTTTCCCTTCCTTGCTCACCTTCCACCCAATCAGTGTATCCTGAAACCTCATAGTTTATACTCTGGGAGGATGGTCCCTGAATTCGTTCCTTATGGCTGCCGTAACAAATCACCACAAAACTTGGTGCCTTAAAACAACGGAAATGCTTTCTCTCACAGGCCTGAAGGCAGAAGTCTGTAATCCGTATCGCTGGGCGCACATCAAGGGGTCAGCACGGGCTGTGCTCCCTCCAGAGGCTCTAGGGGAGGGTCCCTTCCTCGCCTCCGTCAGCACTGGGTGACTGCCCACAGTCCTTGGCTTATGACCACATCACTCCAACCTCTGCCTCCGTGGTCACACTGCCCTCTCCTCTTCTGTGTGTCATATCTGCCTCTGCCTCCTTCTTATAAAGACATTTACACTTGGATTTAGGCCCTCCCCAGATAATCCAAGGTAATCCCTCCATCTCAAGATCCTGAATCCCACCTGCAAAGCCTTTGGTATAGAAGGTAACATTCACAGGTTCTAGGAACTAGGGCGCAAACCTTCCTTTGGAGGCCGGTATTTAGCCTCCCACAGTCCAGAGGCCTGAGCAGTCAGTTACACTTCACGCTGAGGTGGGACCACACCAATAACACGTCCTTGTATCTGCTCCTTTCATCTCAGCCTCACTACCACTCTCCCATACTCCTATTCTTGGATCAAACTCCCCACTAAAGAGGCAGCACGTGAGGTTCTCCTCAAGCTCTCCTTTCTGGGCAACCCAAAGTAATGTGTGTAAACCATTATGAACATTGCACGTGGTGATGGCAGAAATAGCAGGAGCAATACAATAACAGTTCCCACAGTTTTCCAAAAGATTTAACTTTTGCCCAGAGCATGACTTAATCACTTAAAAATAGGCTTATACACTGAGGAAATGGAGGTCATCTATTTCGGTGGAATTTCACACTGTGTTGAAATATGTATTTTCTCTCTACAAAATATTTCCAGCATGGTGACAATTTTCAGTAGAATACCTGCTAAAAGATTAGAATTAGAAAAAGAAGGGTTTCCCATAGCAAATGGAAGGAAATTCACTCCATTACAGGAAAGTTAAATAAATTAGTTAATACTTACAAACTTCTTACAGATGGAAAGAGTTATCTGTATCAGTGTTAAGCCCTGCTATGGATATGCTTTTTGTGTGCTGAACAAATTAAATTTCTCAAAACAGCAGCATCCTGGGTCCTGTGAATATCTGAGAAGTAACACAGCTTCGTGGATGAATTGCAGAATCAGATAACACCACCAAAATTCAGCCAACAGGTCTGCGACTGACTTATTTGGGGGGAAAGAGGAGAATAAGGCAATATTTTCTACTGTACCTCTCAAAATTCTTTGCAGGTGGCAACTGTACGATGGAAGATTCTGGAAAGTTTTTGCGTGTGGGGGGGAGGCAACTTCATTGGCATCTTTGTTTCAGCGATTTCTATGACTTTTAGGTTCACAGATAAACCTGAAGAGAACAAATAACTAACAACATTGAAGATGAGGAAAATGTTGGCAAACTTCTCTGTTAAAAGGGCAATATCAAAAACAGAAACTTTGAAGAACTTCACTTCTCCTCCCATGACAAGGCAAATTCAATATTTTGGTGGAAGCTGCTTCCTGTAGGGATATTCGATAATGATCATCTCAAAAATTACAAGACACGTCATTGAATGAGTACAATCTGAATGAAGACTGTGTTTAACAGTATGGCAAAATAAGTGCACATCGGGCATGTTTACTATATGTCATTTAATTGGACAATTCATACTTGAAAATTTCTCTGATACGGATTCCCTAGGACTTTATGTACCCTCCCAACCACCAACTGGTGGCAAAGGGCTCCCATCTTTTGGTCTGGAAGCAAAAGTCCACCATGTTGACCGTAAGGTCTTGAAGTAGTTAATAAAGGTGCACTCCAAGCCAGAAGTTCCAACCACGTCAACACCTTCTCCTCCAGGTAGCAGACAAGGAAGAGCCCAATCATGATTGGTGACTTGCCACTGAGACAATAATGGCAGAACCTTTCTCAAACCATGACTTCTTGCCAAAGCCTTCTTGCTTCCTGCTATCTATACACCCATACTGAACACCCATAACATAAGCACGTTACCGAAGGCCCTCAGCCTTTCATCAAACAAGGACCACTCTAAAAATTCCTGTAAGTGTATTTCTCCGCGTGGAGGAGTTATTGAGTGAATTGGATAGACTATTTCAGAAGTCAGCAAACTTTTTCTGTAAAGAGCCAGAAGGCAAATCTTTGCAGGCCACGTGGTCTCTGCCACTACTGCTCCACGTTCTAGTGCAAAAGCAGTGGCAGACAATGCATAAACGAGTGAGTGTGGCCGTGTTCCAATAAATCTTTATTTACAAAAACAGGCAACAAATCAGATTTAGCCTGTGGTCCTTTGTTTGCCAAACCCTTGGATTACACGAACTTTGAGAAAAGTCTTGATGTCAAAAACATTATTTTAACACTTCCTTTTAGAGGCAGGGTCCTGACAATTCTTGATTAACGCATATATCCAAGAACTTTTGTCCCTCTTCCTCCACTGTCCTCTGATAAACACCGACTGGCAGAGGGGACCTGGAGCATTGATCCTTCAACAGCAGTTATTCTGCAAGACAAAGCAGGGACAGACATTAAAACCAGACCCCAGGTCTTTGTGCCATACCCGGCATATCAAGTGCCCCTCTTCAAATTGTACTGAGTTAGCTGTCTACCTAATAAAGAAAACAGAACTATTCTTTCACTTAATAGTCTTTTAGGAAGGGTACGGGGGGCCAGGTTTACTAAAGGCCCTTATAAAATGCCGGCTGAAAGGAAATAATGCTCTTTGGCACCACAGAACCTTTTTCATGTGAAGCTACATGATCACTTTTCATTTTGTTTCTCAAGCACCCCATGGCACCCATCCATGTATTAGGCTAATAACTGCATGAATCTAGTTAAAAGGAACCGAGCAATTATTTTAATTAGAAGAGAACAAAAATAACACTCCTGGATTCTGTTTTAAGGGGCAAGAAGGAAGTAGTCAGGGTTCAAAAAGATCCCACAAAATATTTTTGTGAAAGGAAAAATAATTAAGGCCAAATTTAGAATGTACTTGGCAATAAATGGGCCAAATAAAATGAATGGCACCACTGTGCAGCTAAAACCCATTCACATATAAGAGCCCCAGAAAGTCCATTTTAATGTGATACCATTTTGAGGGGATGGCCAATTTTACAAAGTGAAAGTGACTGTCTAGGAGAGACCTTAATGATCCTTGTGAATCTCTTACACAATTTCTTATAGAGTTTCTGTGTAAACTCTTTTACTAATAAGAGAAAGGAGGAAGGATAGTGGTCAATTTGCCTTTTAAGTAGGATTACTTTTGCATTTAAATTCTTCGAGTAAATTGTTCAAATTTGTTTCTCTGGAAAAAAATCTATCTTTAGAGAAAATCCTTGTTACTAATCCATTCTACAAAAAGCGGATTCCATCACAAGAGACTTTTAATCATTTGGACTGAATTCAGTCCCGCAGGAAGAGATTGTATCTGCAGACTTTCCATAGCCACTGCCTTCCTCCCTCCCTTCTGGTCGCGCTACTTTGGCCATTTTATTCCATCTCTGGCTTCTGAAAGGAGATGAAATGAAACTCAAACCAGTCAACTAGTCACTGTTGTTCTTTCTGTTTGAAGCTATAAATGTTTATTGAGCAACTGTCATCTACCAGCACACAGCAAGTTACGGATGTACAAAGATGACTAAGACCTGGACCCTGCCTGCAAAGACCCTACAGTCTAGTCACAGGGACAGAGGTATGGGCAGAAAGGAGACCATGCAGCCCCCGCCGGGTAGGGTCAAGGGTATATGGCCTGAGCTGATCATTAAAGAATGGATTATCCAGGAGAAGGACATGGACAGTCTATTCCAGATCTTTCTCAGATCAGCCTACAAAAAAGCTGGGACAAAAGAACCCCAGGATATACACTGGGAACCGTAAGCAGTTAGAGCTGCTGGAGTGTGAAGCAAAAGATGAGAGTGGAGCAGGAGAGTAAGCTGGAGAAGTAAGCAAGAGCTGGGTCATGGGAGAAGTCATGTGCCATGGTGATGAGCCTGGACATCGTCTGGTAAAGCAATGGAGAGCCACCAAACGCTGCTCAACAAGGGACAAATGTGGCCAGCTTTCCATCTTAGAGCGAGCACTTGGATGGCTGAGAAGAGGAGGAAATGGAGACTAGGTGTCCCGCAAATGCCACAGCCCAAGTAAGATGTGATAAGGTCTTGAACTAGGACAATAGGAAGTAGGAATGGAGAGACAGAATGAGGCACGAGATATACGGTATTGAAGGAGATTAAAAACAAAACAAAACAAACAAAACCTCTGTAGAACAGTGACTGAAGGGGTCAAAAGTAGGAGATGAAATTGGTTTTGAAGATTCTTGGTGGGAAGCAGGTGTTTCATCTGAACACTTGTCCTATGTCCAAAAAGCTTCTCACCTTATAGGTTCCCCTTTAAACCCAGGATGGGCCTTGATCATGGGTTCTGGAATTAAGATGCAGTAACAAATTTCAGCCCTGGGCACATGAGCAAACTGCTGAGTGCTATATGAAAACTCCTAGAAGATAGTCTAACTTTATTTACTTTCCCATGCAAAACTCACGCAAACCCAGTTTCCTGCCATAAGTCTAAGTTAAAATATACAGAAGCCTAGAAGGAAAGAAAATTATGGTGAATACTTACTGTGATGGTTAATTTTATGTGTCAGTTTGACTGGGCCAAGGGATGCCCAGATAGCTGGTAAAACATTATTTCTGGGTGTGTCTGTGAGGGCATTTCTGGAAAAGATTAGCATTTGAATCAGTAGACTGAGTAAAGAAGATCACCCACACCAATGTGGGGGGGCATCGTCCAATCCACCGAAGGCTCAGATAGAAGAGAAAGGCAGAGGAAGCGTGAATTTTCTCTCTCTGCTTCAGCTGGGACATCCATCTTTCCTTCCCTTGGACATCGGAGCTCCTGGTTCTCAGGCCTTCAGAATCCAACCAGCACTTACACCATTGCCTACCTTCCCCCACGATTCTCAAGCCTTCAGACTTGGACTGAGTTACACCACCAGCATTCCTAGCTATGCAGCTTGCAGACAACAGAGCATGGGACCTCATGGCCTCCATACTTGTGTGAGACAATTCCCATAATAAATCTCCTGTTATACATCTCTATATACATCCTATTCGTTCTGTTTCTCTGGAGAACCCTGACTGATATACTTAGGACAAACTACATATATTTTTAATTACTATATTATATTAGACTCATTTGTGTTTTAATTTTTAAATAATGTAAAGAGGACACTTCTCAACTCACTTACGAGCCTGTTAAACCTTAATAACACACCTGACGGGGACATTACCCTAAAAGAAAACTACAGGTAAATTTCATTCATATACATTGTTGCAAGAATTATCAAAACATGCAGCAATGCATAAAATAAATAATATAACATAACCGAGTTGGGTTTAGTCCAGAAATACAAGATTGGTTTAACACTCAAAACCCATTGAATAATTTACCACACTAACAGATAAAAGAAAAAAGTCACATAATCAATCTATAAATAAGTGAGTACTTAATTTATGACAAAAGTATCACTTCGGAGCACAGGGGAAATGAAGACTTTTTCCATCAACGGTATAGAGTAAATAGACAGCATGGAGGAAAAAACAAACTTGATCCCAACCTCACACACATTTTGATAGACAAAAATCAATGCCATGTGGACTATATATAAAAATGTCAAAGTGAAACAATAAAACTTCCAGAAGATAATATAAAAGGATATCTTCATGGCCTTAGGGTAAGCAAAGCTCTCTTAAGTAGCACATAAAAAGAGCTAACTATAAAGGAAAATATTGTAAATTAGACTACACTAAAATTAAAATCTCTGTTCATCCAAAAATACCACAGAGTAAAAGTCAAGCTCAGCATTGTATATGATATTTTCAATATATATAACCAAAAGAGGATCCTTCTAGAATATGTAAATATCTCCAAAAATCAATAAGAAAGATGAACAATACAGTCAAAAAATTAGCAAGACACTTGAAAAGCCCATTTACAAAATATCCAAATGGCCACTATACATGGAGAGACGCTCAACTTATTAGTAATCTGGGAAATCAAATTAAAACCACAATGAGATTCAGCTACATACTACCTGAATGACCAAAATCAAAAAGACTAAGGACACCAGATGCTAACAAGGATGGAGAGCAGCATAACTCTCACCCACTGCTGGTGGGAATGGAAACTGATCCAACCTCTGTGGAAAACTGCTTGGCATTTTTAAAGCTGAGCATAGTGATTCCTTACAACACAGTAAGTTCCCCTTTAGTCTATATGCCCAACAGAAATGCGTGCGCACACCTACCAAAGATGTGCACCAGAAAGTTTACAGCGGCACTCTCTGAAATAGCCTAGACTGAAAACAACCCAACTGTTCATCAAGGGTAAAATGGATAAACTGTGGTATATTATTGATACAGTGGGAGGAAATACAACAAGGAAAATATACTATAATTATACCCAACAACATAGATAGAGCTCACAAACATAACGCTGGGAGAATGAAAACAGACACAAAAGAACACCTGCCATATGATTCCGTTTATATGAAGTTCGAAACAAAACAAAACACATCTATGGAGCCAGAAATCAGGATAATGCTTATCTTTGAGGAGGAAGGGGACACCCACCACGGGGCAGCGGGGAAAGTTGGCCGTATCCTCTTTCTTGTCCTAGGGAGGTGGTTACAGGATGTGTCCACTCCAGGAAAAGACATCGAGTCACATGCTTCTGCTCCTGGCAATCTTCCATGTGTGGAATTCCCACAAAGCTTCAAGAAAAGTTTCAAATATTGATTTCTACTTCTTAGGTGAAGTAAATGGAGGGGCTGACAGAAAATATCATAGAACATCTTTATTAAAATCCATCAGTGGTTTGTTCTTACCTGTTTGAGTTTGCTTTCCTGATGTCAGCTACAGAGCAGAAAAAAGGAAGACCCACACATATGATTACAGGTCAGCTGGACTAGGAAGAAGAGAATGCCTTCCCCTTGAGGAAAAACGAATGAAACTGGGACTGTTTGCAGTTTAGCGAAGAGATGAGCAATGCATGAGGAAGAAAAAAAAGTTAAGGGCCCAATGTATAAAATCACGACAATAACGAAGGGTCTGCTAGGGGCTCACACGTTTCTAGCCTTATTATACGAAGTGGGATTAAAAGGTAACAAATTTAGGCTGGCTACAAGGAAATGCTCTCTTATGAAATGTATAATTAACCTGTAGGCAACGGTTTAGTAAAATCCAACTCCTCCCTCAAAAAAGAAGAAAAAAAAAAAGCTATTTATAGCAGCCAAACCAACAACGGTGGTTACAGTGACTGATATAGTGTTATGAAGATTCCCCTGCTTCCAGGAGAAAACTGATAGCCAGCTGGGGTCAGGACAAAGTTTTCCCTTTGGTGTAGCATTTCACAGCTCTGTTATCTAACACTGAGCAATTCGAGGGGCTGTGGGGCGTCTCACCTCCACTCATGGCACCTGGCTCTGGGATCCAGGATGCTGCCTTGAAACAGGCTATTGTTTTCATCCTGGATGGCAACACCTGTAGGCCTGTGTTTAGGCAACACCTTGTGTTTCCAAAAGGTAAACTCAATGAATATAATCAAAATTGTTCCTAACACTGCTGTTTTTACATCAACAATCTATAAATATATGGAAGAACTTAATATATGTGTGAAATAAACAGAGCAGGTATGCCTGCACCGAGGTAATTCAAGAGACAGCTCTATAATTTAGCAGCTTGGATTTCAATTGTTGCATTTTTAGGTATGAACAACACAGATATTATTCATCAAAGTGATTGTCCTGTGCACTTGTATACCTTATATAATTTATTTTTTCAGGGCTTTTTACTTCAAAGAAATCACTAGCTAATGACATTTCAGACTTCAGAAATTTTTCTGATAACACACTGGAATTCCCTCAGGGACAAGATTCTGAATAAGTGGATTTTTTTAAAGATCATTAACAGATATTACAAACCAATTCAAACAGAGCATTTTCTTTGCAAATTACCTTTAACTTTTAAAGCCATTGAAAAAAAAAAGACAGTGAGTGACTTAATTTACTTAACCTGTCTACAAATTGCAGGCTTGTGCTCCATCGGCGACCGCATTTTCAACCAAAAAACATCTCTAACTATCTCTAATAGAGATATTTTTCTAAATTATCACACCCGGTGAGTGATATTTCAAAAGGTAGTAAATTTTTTTTTCATTTAGCAAGTTGCCCTGGAATTGAGAATGTTTATTTTATTGATACGTTTAAAGAGAAAACATAGCCCTACGCTGGCTGTATCTATTGCTTAATTAAAACTTTCAGGTAATTAGTAGGTTTATCATTTCCTGAGCAAGTGGGTGGTGGAGCTTTGGGGGCTGGTTGTGATTGGGGGGCAAGGGAGGGAACGAGTCTTTTATTTAATGATCAAACCAGAGTTTCTGGGCTAGAGAGCTAATATTCAGGCTGAGAAACACCTTTATTCCCCATGTGCGTCAGCCCTGATTTCTTATTTGCATCAACAGCCCGTTGTGCGTTTTCCATTCAAAGAGCTCCGAGGACTTCAAAGGGAGTCGCCTGCGAGGACGGGCTGCGTGGGAGTCCTGAAAGTCCCCAGAACAGGCCCAGAGCTGGGGAGCCATGCCAAGACTCGCTCGTGCAGGAGCCCCCAAACCATGTCACAGAATTAGAGGGGGTCCCCTGCCTATGCATCCCACAGCGCGCGTGGGAGATGTCCCCAGGCCGGCCAGGCACCGCGCTGGCTTCTCAGGCTACTACTCATAAATATTTGATGAGTGGCACTCCATTTATAAGAAAGTTATGTTAATAAGAATATTCTTTGAAACTGGAGTCCAACGCAGGCTTTAAAAAGGCTCATTGTTTGAGGTACTACAGGTTTCCTTTTTTTCCCTTTTAAAGTGCAAAGTCAACTTACCACAAACCAAACAAAGGAAACTAACATTCTTTTGGATGTCCCAACGACAAAAAAAAAGGGTAGAATTCTACTCTGAAGGATGTTCTAATTTTGTAAGGACTCGTTAAATCATTGAGGGAAGGGAACATAGAAACTAATATTTTTTTTGAGTGTTTCTGGTGTGAGATAGTTTGTTTCTCCTCTTTTTAATTGAATTGAGATATTTTAACTCTTCTTTTTTTTTTTAAAGATTTTATTTTTTTCCTTTTTCTCCCCAAAGCCCCCCTGTATAGTTGTACATTCTTCGTTGTGAGTCCTTCTAGTTGTGGCATGTGGGACACTGCCTCAGCATGGTTTGACAAGCAGTGCCGTGTCCGCGCCCGGGATTCAAACTAACAAAACACTGGGCTTCCTGCAGCAGAGCGCGAGAACTTAACCAGTCGGCCACGGGGCCAGCTCCTTAACTCTTCTTTTTTAATCCTCGCCAATATATTATGAGGTAACTTGTACTACCTCCATTTTAAAGATAGGAAAATGGGTTTCACAGAGATGATGCAAATCTTCTGCTTCAGAGTCCCACCCCAGGACGTGCAGAGCTGGTCTGGAATCCAGATCTAGCCAACCCCGAAGCCCATGTTTGTTTCTCTAGCTCACTCTAGCTCCCAGGCTCTGGTGATTTCAAAAGTCAAGTTCACATCTCACAGCAGCTGCCATTTTTCTGAAGAGCTAGGACTCAAAGGTTTGGGTTCCTTCAGTTGAAGCTCAGACAAAGAATACTGTACTCCACATGCTGAGGATTAAGTTTCAAAAGAATCATTTTGCCCCAAAGAGTTCCCAGTGGGATCCTGCCAAGGACCGGAGAATCCCACGTGGCTGGAGATCTACACTAACCAGTCTGAATGCCACATGTTTGTGTCCCAAAACACTGACACACCTCAGTGAACCTCAGAAACTAGGGGTGATCCTAAGGGTCAGAGCAGACGCCCTGGAGTTCAAGGAGCAGTAAGAGGATCAGCCAGGGCTCCACTGTGACGGAGGGCCCAGCTGCTAATCCTTAGAGAGGTAGCATGTCCAAAACCATCACAGCCCATGTATGAAGTGTTGGGATGGGAGGAGAAAGTCAGAGCTTTCACCGATCTCATTGGGCCCCTTTCCAACCTCTAGATCTGGGAGCCCTGAGTAGGTCTAGGATGTGGATATTCAGTGGGCACAGAGTGAGATTGGGGGGCTGAGTCTCCTGTCCCTGGTGAGCAGACACTGGCCAGGGGCCCCAGAAGTAACAGGGCCAGCCATGATCACCCGGGAGCTCCTTCCTGTTTCCGCCGATTCCTACAACAAGAGCCCCTGAGGCCACTAGAAGGAGCCCAAGCAACTCTGTGTGCCTCACTGTGGCCACCATTTGCCCTGGGCTAACCAAAAGTTCACCAGAACAAAGGCACACGCCCCCAAGACTGCTCCCAGGGACGTGGCCCTGCCAAGCCTTGTTTCAGTTCTCTGAGGCTGTTTCCTCATTGGTACCAGGGAGACAGTATGAGTACCTGCTCAGCCCAGCACGCTGTCTGATGAGAAAGATGGGACAGCATCCCATTCATGAAAGCGCTTCCTACAATCCACGCTGTGGGCACAGTGTCTCACTAACCTCTCCTTTAATTTCAGACGTGTTTCTCAACGTCAGGCTTTTTATTCTTATCACTAGTGAGAATAAATCTGAATGGGAGTGATTTTTCATACAATAGATGTCAAAAACAAAGTTATAAAATAAGATGTTTTCCGAACATGGAACATCAATCCATTTACTTATTTTGCATTCACTCAACAAACCTCTAAGCACACTAGCTAAGGCTTAGATGCTGCATCATTGTGTTGGATTTCTAAGCACACTTTACCTTGCCTTTGCACATAGGCTAAAAGCAAACTTCTAAACATGAACCACGTGTGAGGCAGGTGTGATCTGATGCCTGCTGGCTTCTCACACCTTCTCTTCACTCCTGACTCGGCTGAAATGTCCTCTCCTTACAAAGCCCTTCCATTGCCTCTGGATCCAAAACAGCCCAGCCCTGATCTCCTGGCTCCTTTTAGTTTCCATCAGAGCACCCTTACCACGTATGACCCTCTCTATTGGTTTGGTCCCTTGTGTACCGCCCATCTCCCCAGCTCAGCTGCAGCCTCCAGAAAGTCAGAGGCCATCTCAATCTTCTTCCCCAACTTTGTCCCCAGTCTACAACACAGTGCCTGTCACGTCAAGGACACAGGAAACAGTGTTGCCTTAAAGCAGCTTGACCTGATGTGAAAAACGGAGAGCCCCAGTCCGATATTTTGTTTCAGGCTGCAGTGGCAGCCCTGGAGCGGAAGGAGAAAAGTTCTCATTTTTCCTCTTCACCAAGCTCAGGTTCTTTCCCCTGCAATTAATCTGCGCCTCCGCCCTACAAGGCGGCAATGCACACGAGGTCTGGAAGGCGGGCCTGTGTTCACTCCCAGCCTGGGAAATGCCTCACCTGTTGGCCAGAGTCCTGCCTGCCGACAGAGGCATGGCTTCCCCTGTCATCTAAGTGTGAGATGGCGACGAGCTTGGTGCCCTGCGGGGCCCAGGTGTGACTCTCAGGTGCTTCCTGGGGCTCCTCTGTCCAAGTGAGCACGGGCTCCGGTGCCAGGCCAGAGCTACAGCTCCCACTGCCTGATGAATGCCCGCTGGCGCCGCCGGGTGGAGAGGCAGGCCACACCACAGCATTCCTGTCTTTTTAGTCTAAAATATTTTCTCTCTATGGCATCAATTTCATATTACAGAAGTAATATATATTAATTGTAACAAGTGAAGCAACACTTAAAAATGTGAATAAAAACAAAGATAATTCTTTCTCCCTGTCCCACTTCATTACCACTCTCTGGAGATTACCATGGGTGTGCATGCATCTGCCTGTATCTATGTATTATATATGTAATTACATAATGTAATATATATAATGTATATAACATACATTTATATTTAATATGTTTATATATTATTATATATTATATATTACATATATTTATATGTAAATATATAATTATACATAATTTCACATAAGTGGGGTCATATATACGCTGGGGGAATTTCAGTGCAGTATTTTATCTCCATTTAGTTATCATTTCTCTGTGTGTTTTGCTTGCCTCTCCCAGTGTGGTTACTCCAGGGACGTACTGGAAAGCACAGATGTGTTCTGGCCAGAGGACCACACCTGCGTGCAGGGGCACGGGCGTCCCTTTCTGTTCTTAAAGACATCTGCCTTGGTCATACCAGAATTCAGGTGAGTCTTCAGAGAAGTGGCACTGCTGGTGTTTTCTCTTCCCGGTTGCTGGTTTGGAGACATCTGGAGAGACATCTGTGCCCCCCTCGCAGGCGGCCACAAACCACCCCTGGTTCCCTATAGCTCCCTAGCCCATCTCGCTCCCTTCTGTCTCTAATTGGCTCGGGTTTCAAGCTCCCAGCCCTTGTATTATCTCTGACTTCATCTATTTCCCCTGACCTTTTCAAAGTAACAAAGCTCTAGACCATGGCGTCTTTCCCTTTCTCCATAGATGTCTCTCCCTACCTCTCCTCTGGCAAGGTTTACCCACGCCTTCAGTCGGTGCCCATTTCCTCAGCCCATTTGTCTGCAGGTGACCCTTCCTTCCGACCTTCACCACCAGGTCACAAACTTGACCAACACATTTGTATATTGTTTTGCAGGTTTCAAACATACTAAAATATATTACTTCAACTAATTCTTACAATAGCCCTTTGAAATACAGAAGGGTATATTGGCCCCCAAAATATACGGGTCTTAAGACACATTAACAGGCACTTTGCAAAGAAGACATTAAAATGGCCACATGAAAATATACTCAGTTTCACTACCTATAAAAGAAATGCAAAGTATAGGAACACTAATATACTTTGTGCCTATGAATTAGCAAATATTTAAAAGAATGATAATACACACTGTTCAGCAAGGGAAGAGAGACAGCACACTAGATTATTGCAGGTAGGAGTACGTATTGGTGGCACCTCTCTGACCGATAACTTGCCAATACACAGTGAATAGAAAATCATGGAGCCATGCAATTCTCCTTGTAGGGATTTCTCCCAAGGAAATAAACAAAGCTACATAGAAAGTTTAAGCTACAAGGATATTTTCATATGTGACTGATTAATTTGAAATCATGTCATGTAATAAAATGCTCTGAAAAAATTAAAAATAATAATGTGGAAGAATATATAATATCATGCAAAGTTTTCTAATATAGTGAAAAAAGATTACACAATAATACACATTGTCTGAGTCCCATGAATATGATAGATACACATATAGATATAAATATCATGCACCCCAAAATGTCAAGAAAGGTTATCTCCAACTGATGGCATTATGGGTGATTTTTATTTTCCTAATTCCTGCTCACCTCTATTTTCTAAATTATTTTCAATAGCCAAGTATAATTTTGTAAAGAGAAAAACAAGAAAATGATAACATTAAAACAGTTGCCTTTTGGGGCTGACCCAGTGGCATAGTGGTTAAGTTCACACGCTCCACTTCAGCGGCCTGGGGTTTGCAGGTTCCATTCCAGGGCACAGACCCAGCACCACTCATCAAGCCGTGCTGTGGCTGCATCCCACATAAAATAGAGGAAGGCTGGCAAAGACGTTAGCTCAGCAACAATCTTCCTCAAGCAAAAAGAGGGAGACTGGAAACACATGTTAGCTCAGGGTCAATCTTCCTCCCCCCCAAAAAAAATTGCCTTTGTCTAAATGCAACCAGTTCTACATTTGATTCTTTCATCCACTCACTCACTCACTCAACAAATATTTATTGAACTCCTACTATATATAAAGTGTTCTGCTAGATGATGAGAGTACAATGATTAATTTTTTTAAGGTATATATATTTTTCTTTCTGAAGATTGGCACCTGAGCTAACAACTGTTACCAATCCTCTTTTTTTTCTTTATTCTTCTCCTCAAAGCCCCCCAGTACATAGTTGTGTATTCTAGTTGTGAATGCCTCTGGTTGTGCTATGTGAGATGCCGCCTCAGCATGGCCTGATGAGTGGTGCCATGTCCGCGCCCAGGATCTGAACTGGCGAAAGAAACCCTGGGCCGCCGAAGCGGAGCGTGTGAACTTAACCACTTGGCCACAGGGCTGACCCTAAAAATTTTTTAATTAAAAAAAAGAGGTGGCCTCTGCCCTGGAGAAGGTATTCTTGGGAAACGGGAGAAAGCCAGTGGGGATTGCTGGTTTCAACTGTGAACACCACCAGGTACAGCTGGAGCTCATTAGGCATTATTCTTCCCTAAACCCAAGAAATGGCCTCAGAGGACGTCAATGCATCCGGTCGTGCTTGGGTGAGATTTAGGCTCAGAACTGGACCCGGATCTGAAAAAGTGGTTTCTGAGAGTGGAAAATGGAGAGAAAGCACGAGAGGGAGAAGCACCCTGTTCTTAAAGCTCTTAGCTACTGTGTCTCCTGCTAGCTTGAGACAAATGGCTGAAGTGGCCTGGCTGGGGGACAAATGGTCCCATGGGTTGCATGACTACAGACATTAATTAGAAGATCCAAAATGATCCATCTTTTAAAGAAGCGATTAGTGAAAATTCGACAAAATTTCCCAAAGCATCCCTCTGGGTGTGCCTCTTGAATAGCATCCAGGCTCCTCCTGTTCCTAGATGACACTCCCCTTCAACGTGCCGAATTGGAACCTCCCACACACATCAAAGCTGTTCTCCCAGCACGGAAGCCACCCCCAGGAAGTGTGGCACTTGCACAGTCTGCAAGAAGTCTTTGCAGCCTCTAGGGTACCATTTGGTTACCCCGTGGGACCGCTGTCATATTCGAAGTTAACTCAAGGCATATGCTCTGAGTTCTTTTTTCCCACAAATGTTGAAGAGTTTGTGTTGATTCTTCCGCAGAAGGCCACTTGTGACCAGCGTTCATTTGGAGGGCTGGCTGGGGCTCAGAGGGGGACCATGATGAAGTGGACCAGCCTCCTGAGAACTGAACTCATGACCTCATTAGCACAGGGTTCTAATCAACTGAGCCACCAGGCACATACCTCATTTAAGGCACTGACGCAGTAATTTGCTAAATGTTAATTCTTAGATTAACTACAGATGAGTAGAGTTCCTAGGGGGAAAAAAATGAGATTTGTTAATTCATGAAAGGAAATTTGGGTCATCAGTAGATGATCCCTTTGGTTAGTTTAAGATATAATTCCAGCATCTGAAGATGATACTCATCAGGGTCTATGCCACCATGATTTTTTTTAACCAATATCCAGATCAGGAAACTTTCAAGGAAAAAGCAAATGATGTCACTTCCACACTTGCAAAATGCTACCCAACGATTTTCACGTAGATTCCGCCACAGTTTCTATCTCAAACTCTGTCACAAAACTTAAGTGGCAAAATGAAGTAAAGGTTTCCATATCTGAGGCAGAGATGGCCCTCCTGGAGTGGGAAGGCTGGACCCCATTACCCCCCTGCCCCAGAACCCTAATTCCTGTGGAGAGAAGACCTTCCATCCATGGGGAAGGGGAGCCAGACCTGCAGCCCTGTCCCAAGGCATACTGTAACCCACCCCACTCCGCCTTCTTACCTTGTTCCCCAGCTGGTCCCTGAGGAGCCAGTTTTCCAAACAGCAAATATGGTTTGGAACAGAGTTTTGACACTGACTCACTATCCTCTGCTCATATTACATTTCTATGAATATTCCAGCGACTTTTCAACTCTGAAGAAAAGTTTCCGCTCAGAGACTACATTTAGCATTCAGACCAGTTCAACTTCAGTTGCTCCCACCCTGACAGCGATCTTTGAAACTGATATGGCCCTGAAAGAAGCCAGAATAACTTTTTAAATATATTAATAAGAATGGGCTGGGTTCCCAGTCTTTGTAATCTTGTGGAAGAACCTCTGTGAGAAAGCGCACTGGAAACTGAATTGAGTATGTGCCCACACTAGCTTTTCCATGGAAAAGGCTGCTCGAAAATGCATGGCTGTTTTGCAGGAGAATTTCTATGAAGTAGAAGAAGATGGGAATCCAGCCTTGCATTTGGCACTTATGACCTTTTGCCCCAGGAATTTTAAGACCATCTTTAAATACTCAGGTCTCTGCCCATCGTAAGGGAAGCCCCATGACACCCCGTGGGGAGAACCAACCTGACATCTCAGAAGCACCCCAGTTCTGCCACCTGCCAGCTTGGGGCCTGAAGAAAAGTTAGGTATCACCTTTGAGTTGTCAGTTTCCACACCTGTAAAATGATGATAATTATAGTTACTGCAAAATAGTGACTGTCTCCACACGAAATAATGGACACACAATTCTTTACTCTATTGCCTGGAACACAGTAACTACTCATTGAAACTCAACTATTGTAGCTTTATCTGCCTCCTGAGCAAAACATGACTATCTCAATGTAATATGTCTGCATTCCAGATATCCCTTCCTTTGTAAATATAAAATAAAAATTAAGTCCTACAGTGTAAATCCATGAAGAAGATACTGATGATTAAACTGACTGCAGTCAAGCCTAAACAGTATTCTCTGATTCAAATAGCTAAGCGGTAGCAGCCTAAAATGAAAACAGCTAGCCCTGATTTCTAAATAATGCCTTTAAAAAGTCTTCTTATGAAATACATTATAAAATGGCATAAGAAACTTTCAAACTAGCATGATCAAAATAAATGATTTTAAAATCACAATTCCCTTCAACATACCAAAACTGTAGTCAATCTAAAGATTCTCAGGAAATTCAAATTCTCAATGTACAAAAAAATCCACTAATTCAAACAAAATCAGACTAAGTATATTTTTATCTGAAAATACAATCTGAGACAACTCCACTTTATATTCAAGGAACATTCTTATAAGCATTTAGTAAGTTGCAATTTAAAACTACTCAAGTTCAAGTTGACAGTTAGGAACTAAATAAATAGAAACTAAATTGCTAAATAGTATCTGTCTTACAGTTGTGGGCTCAATTTGCTACTTTAATCTCCAGCAGGGAATATTAGTTCAATAAAATAAATATTTTTAATATCCTCTATGCATTTCCTCAAACCATGCCAATGCACTTATCTACAGCTCACTTAAAAGATTTGGTAAGCAGCCCCCCACTTGCTTAAAAGAGGATGTTTGATTTTCTTATGAAAATGGAGGAATGGACATGAGTGCTCATTGTTTGAACGCACTGAGCCTTTAATCACTTCCAGTTCTGATTCATCAGAAAAGTAGGACACTCGAGGGATTTTTTTTTTTTGGTCACTAAATATTGTCTTTCATTTTGAGATATTTATTTCTTGGCGGAAAATGATACTGTATTTTTCCCCTAATGATGAAGGATGAAAGATGGAGAGAATTCTATTTGGTGATTATTGGACCACAAAGAAGTAAACTGATTCAGAAAACAAATCCCCAAAAGAAAAGTAAAGTGTATTATGTGAGGTGGAAGCATGGAATTCTTGGCAAATATTCAATTGGAGCCAGGATTGGTAATTTAATAACATCCCTGTTTTGTTAATATTTGGGCGGGTTGGGGGGGTAAAGCCCTCGGGCTTTAGCTTTGGGCCAGAATCTCTCCGCTCTCCACCATTACCTCAGCCAGCAGGAGTGTTTAAAGACACAAACTCCTGGAGGCCTTGCAAAGTGTTGCTAAAACTACATAGGCCATGGGCAATGGCCCAAGATGCCATCTCTCCCACATAAGCCAGAGACTGCAACAGAAACTCAGTCTCCGCAGCTCAGTGGGCAATGGGAATCATCTCTAAAGAAAGCCCACTCTGGACGCTACTCCCAGAGCCCTGGAGCCTCACGCCCAAATCAGAGCAGACCAGTGAATTCATGAAGTGAGATCTGCCCACTGCAGTGATCCTACAACATCATTCTCAGTCACTGGGTAATTGGGCCACTCTGCTTTGGTCCTTCTAACTTCCCCCTGCCGGTTGCTGAGCAGAGTTTGGCAGGAGAATCTCTCCAACTTTGGAAATCCTAGCCACACCTGTGCACTCCAAAGGGGTACACCTGAGCAGGGTGCATGGTAAAGGGGTCAAAGGAAGTGCTGAAGTAACACCCAGCTCCTTTCTGGGACCTGAAGGGCACGGAGTGGGTCATTTTGTAGTCTGGTTCTCTTTTGAGTTTAAAGAAGCAGAGTAGCACAGAAAGAAATTTGAAAGAAAACAAAAAGACAAATTGAAGAGGGAGACAGAGAGGTTTAGCCCAAATCCAGTCCCTAAGACAGTTCTGAGTTGCCACTTTTCTTCCATGACCTTTCAAACTCCTGGATTATGCAACGCATAGAAAAACACCAAGCTTAATTGCTGAAAATCTTACCTAATTTTATAGTTCCAATGATGGTCTGAAAAGACACATGATATGGGTTACACAAGTGTGTGTTTATAATGATAGACGGTGGTGGCAGTGGCGGTTGTGGTGATGGTGGCAGCAGTGGAAGTACTGGCGATGGTGCTGATGGTGATGGTGGTTATGGTGGTGACAGTGTTGATAATGGTGGTGAAGGGAGTGGTGGTGGTGGGGGGGGGTGGGGTGAGTGAAGGGGGTGGGGGTGCAGTTGGTTTTGTTGATTACAATCAAACCCCCCAAAATGAATTAAACACTTTGACTTACGTATTAGAAATTTGAGAAGTCTATTCTACCCAGCTTCTCTGAGTCTTAACCTCCTTATCCATCAAACGTTGATTAATCTGATCACAAAGATGTTGTTCTCTGATTAAACTTGAAAGGCACTTTCAGAAGAAGAAAAAAAGTGGAGTCAAAGCAGTTGCTTAAGGGATTTTTTTCTCTCTGTAGTTGAGTTTTTATTCTTCACTATTATTTTCATCATAATCATTGTCACTGAAAGCATTTCAAAGTATCAATAGGCCTTGAACCTGATGTAGCATAAGATTCGAAGGATGTGGAACATTCAATTCCTGGAAATATTGTAGAGACATGTGACAACACTTTTCTACCAATGCTCAAAAACGTCGGGGGCAAAGAAATTGGCACTGGCAGTGTGATTACCATAAACACAGAGAAATACCTCCCCTGTGTGGTTATGTTTAATGGATGATGAGGTAGTCATAGGCAGCTTGTTAATATTTTTCTTCTCCTTCTAGGCTCAGAGTAGGATTGAATGGCTCCAACTACTTTGAAGTTCGGCATGGTCCTACAGCTTTTTTGACCAATAGAATACAGAAGTGGTAGGTGTCACTTCTGGGCAGGAGCTTCAAGAGAAGGGCGAGCTTCACCACGTTCCCCTCCCCGTGCTGTGGGGAATGTGGAAGAAGGTGCACAGGGGAGCCGCCACCGCCCTGAGTCCCTGCATGTCTGCAACCGGCAGATCCCTTCCCATGCCCAACAGACATTCAATGGGATCAAGAAGTAAACTCTTGTTGTTTTAAGCCACTAAGTTTCGATGGTTATTTTCTACCACAGCAGAACCTTCTCCATCCTAACAGATACAGATGGCAAAGAGCCAAAACAAGAGAGTTTCAAGTCACTAGTGGTCATGTGGGAAAAAAGAAATCTGCATCTTTCTGAGAATAAAACAAACTCTCAAGGTTTTTTTTTTTTTTAAAGATTTTCACCTGAGCTAACAACTGTGGCCAATCTTTTCTTTTTCTGCTTTATCTCCCCAAATCCCCCCTGGTACATAGTTGTGTATCTCAGTTGCAGGTCCTTCTATTTGTGGCATGTGGGTCACCGCCTCAACATGGCCTGAGGAGCGGTGCCATGTCCACGCCCAGGATCCGAACCAGCAAAACCCTGGGCTGCCGCAGTGGAACGTGGGAACTTAACCACTCAGCCACGGGGCCGGCCCCCTCAAGGCTCTCTGATCAAATCACTAACTCTGAGGCATTTAAGCATTCCCCAGTGAAGGTCTCTTCTAGACGAAGCCTGCCTAGGAAAAGGTATGACATGACCTGCAAGCAACTGAAAGTCACTCTAGCCCTCGCAAACTGCAAGATACTGTGGAGCTCTCTTCTGCCTGAGTTCTATTTCAAACAATAAACCACCTTCTCACCACTATCCAGGCAGACAGGCACAGACTCCTTATCATTTTCAGAACTGTTCATTTAAAGACTACACTACCCAAGATATAAGCCTCCTTACGGAACTCTACTTTTAAGAAAACGAAATCTCACAAAATTAGTACATTTCCACATTCAAAGTGAGGTGGCAAATGTGAAAAGCCCATCTGTGCCCACCCTCCCCTCCGCCCCACCAACTCTACCACCACCCAGAGCTGTAGCTATGCATGAAAAATCTAACACATGCAAAGTATAGAGGCTCTTTGAAAATTTGGCCCAGTGTGTCTTATATGTGAGTTGCAGTCTCACAGTCTTGCCAACAACAACAAAGAGGAAAGAAAAGGAAAGGGTTTTTTTTTTCTCTAAACTTGGGAATGAAACATAAAACTCCTCTTCTATGAAGCTGAATGGCTCCAATTTTCCACACTCAGGATGATCTCTTACTAGCCTTTACCTTCATGATACCTTTTTATGTGGCTTTTTAGTGGGCATTGCTTTCCTCCCAAATTAATTGCATGGCAGCAGTGTCCCAAAAAGATGCTCTAGTTCCCTACTGAGGGGCCTGGGGTCCTCACCAGACCTCAGGGTCACTGTAAAGATAAAATTAAATGGACAATATGAATCTGCTTTGAAAACACTAAAAGTGCTATCCTAGTGGCCTTATTTCCACATGCCCAGCTTCTGTCACATCTACTGGCTCTATTGTGTCTAAGTTGTACTGCTTGAAGTTTTCTGGGGTCTCAGCATAGGCAAGTACAGAGCAAATTAACACTTGCTGGAAATGCTCCAAGTACAAGATTCACATGGAAACCCAATGAGTTGGGTGGTATTATCTCCAAGAATGCAGAGAGGTGTAGAGAAGTCAGTGGTTTACACATGGTAACACAAACAGTGGTAAGTGGAGAGTCCAGGACAGAACCCTGTCTGTCTGTCCATTGACTCAACAGGCACAGAGTGCCATCTCTCAGCTAAGGGGTCTTCCTGCTACCAGTCTGTTCCACAAAGGATGGGCATGGAGGTGCCATCTATTTAGCTGATGAGAAGAATGTACTAAACTGTCTACATTAAGTTGGCTGGGTGGAACTCTCAACCTAGAGTTTCTTAGATGTAACCAAAGCCTACTGGACAAAGAAGGTTCCAAACAGGGAAGTGAGGAAGAAAAGATGGGGCCTGCGCCCATCAGGAAGAAAGGACAAGACTGAGCAACTGTGGGGAAGAAGTCAGGGAGCAGGGCCAAGTAGAAATTCAATGAAAAATTAGTTGTCTATCAACATATATTCAACATATATGGTTTGAAATTTCCAATAGCTTGGGAGATCTCTATAGGAAGAAGACAACATACCCTATCCATAAAAGCAAAGAGAATGGGGAAAGATAAGGATGCTCTGGATAAAGGATAGTTGGTAGATGCATAGGGAATATCCAGAGCGAAACTGGGTGGTGGGGCAGGGAAGAAACCCCAGCAACATCCCTGGGGAGGAAGGGAGCCACAGAGGAAAGCAAAGAAAAACAAATGTGGAAACAGAGACTGATTTTAAACATTAAAAGGGGAAAAAAACAAAAGGGAAGAAAATCCAAGGAGCAAGATGAAAAAAACTAAAACTGAGGGGTTTGAAATGGCCAAAATCATTTCCGCAAAAAGTAAATACATACTGTCTCCTGAGAAAACAGGTTGAAATAGTCTTCGGAGACACCAGAAAAATCGTCAGGGGCAAAATCCTCTGACTCAGGTTAAGAATGCTGATAAACACACCAGCTACTTAAACAGGCATAACCAAAATTAGGGAAAGGAAAGCTTTTGAATATGCAAAAAATACTTAGGTTTCTAAAAGATGTTTTTGTTGTAAACTTCCAGATTTTTATTGTCTTTTTCTCCTCTTATGTTCCTATTTTACATACCCAAAAGGTTACACATTCATCTCAAATAATTACAAAAAATGTTTGCAATCTCTTTCTCCACTTCTTTGCAAATGGCATCACAAGAAATTCCTCACCTGGGGGACTGTGTCCATATTCCTTTATAGTGTTCTCTGATTTTGATCTATCAACTTGAACTATCCACCTCATTTTTAAAATTTAGCCATACTTAATTTGTTTACGGAGTTAACTGGTTCACCAACTTAACTGGAATTTATTGCTAAATTATCACTCATTTCAGTCCCAACAGACCAGCTGTTTAAGGACTTAGACACATGACGTGCTTCCTCGATGTTAATTAATTTGCATGGCTTCCTCACAGCACATCATTGGCAAAACGGCTTTTCTTGAATTTTTGATCTACAATATGAACATTTAGTATTGCATAGTGAATGTTCACCCATAAATTCCCAAAGTTGGAGGGATGATTTAACAGCCTACACCACTTTATTTAGACAATTTAATAGCCCATGCCTTTTCTTACGGTGAATCGTACCTTTAAAAAGCACATTTCCTGATCTCTTTTAGTAATCTTTTCTATCAGAAAAATCTTCCTGGTTGATGACATGAGGAAAAGAGAAAATTTAAGACCTTGAAGAGTATTCTCAGAACAGCTAGTGAAAAAGGAAAGGTTTCTATATTTAAAATGATAATCCTGTGGTCCACCCCAGGGCCAAGTGGTTAAGTTCGCGCTCCGCTTCCGTGGCCCAGGTTTTTGCGGTTTGGATCCTGGGCGCGGACCTAGGACCACTCATCAATCCATGCTGAGGCGGTGTCCCACACAGCACAACCAGAGGCACTCACAGCTAGAATACAAAACTATGTACTGGGGGGCTCTGGGGAGAAGAAGGAAAAAAGAAAAAAGAGATTGGCAACAGATGTTAGCTCAGGTGCCAATCTTTAAAAAAAAAAAAAAAAAAGATAATGCTTTCCCACCCAGAATGTAAAAATACAGTTGGCGAAATTGTCCTCAGACATTTTTGTAATGTCATGGTCATATGTTCTAAATAATGTCTGTAGAAGAATCATTTAGATTTCTGGTTTCAGTGCCTTCACTGGAGAGGAGAGAGGTGGCAGACCATCTGATTTTTTCTTTTCATCCAGATGCCTGTTTCATATTTACTTAACAAAACTGCCCTGGAATTCACATAAATAATTAATTAATGAAATAAATATAGAAGTTCAAGAGACATAAGAAAATATTCTCTAGGTGAACCCCAAACTAGAAATCCAAGTTGAAGGGTCTCAATTCTCAAATACATAACCTTTCCAAGGTGGACCACCTCCCCTCAGTTCTGAATAATACGATTCAACCAAAAAGATTATCATGATAGACGAATGGCAGTTCCAAATCAAGATAGTGTCCATTAAGTCCAGCAGGAATATCAGAGCCTAAGGGAAGGGACTTGAAACTGTCTGATTAAGATGCATCATGAAAGAGAGTCAGAGACCTTTTTTTGTTTGTTTGTTTCTCTATCACCTTCCGTTTCATGAGATGTCTTATGATCTCCCGCTGCACGACAACACCGAGTCAGTGTGAAGGGAACAATA